TTCAAACCATCTCGCTTCATTTACCTGTTAGAACGGCAGTGACATTGATAAAGAACGTACTGCCCTGAATCAAAGACGAACTGATTGACCCAAAACGACCGTTGGTCGATATTAAGCAGGAGAGTGAAGGAGAAAGCAGACCTCAGCAAAATCAATATGAAAATCTATGATGTACGGTAACTGGAGCAAATCAGTGCGTGCTGAGCTCGATTTTGAACTTCACGTCCAACGTCACTTGTCTATTTTCATTCTGACCCGACTCACCGGACATTGTCACAAATGGAGCAAGATAACGCAGTGTGAATGGGTGTAGCACAACGAGTCAGCACTGGTGGACTTTTGAAATGGAGGTTTAACGGGAAGTCCGTGAGTAAGGCTGGAACGGAAGTTGTTCGATTTGAAATCCAATTCATAATAGGACGCCCACCACTCAGTATGCTTGCCTCATAAGAGCTTTCGTAAACCTACCGACGTCCTTTATCCCTAAATGGTGACCTCTGTTGGGGCCCAGGCGTTGGCAAATGAGATAGGGCGGGCGGATAGATCCATGTTGGCGATTTCACACAGGCAAATATCCAGGAAAGTGCACCGGTCAGCTTTGAACAGTTGTTACCCTAGCTTCGGTTAGCCTTCCCTTTAACGACATTTCCAACGCGGAAGACAGATGCGTCTTGGACCATCCTTCACAACTCACTGATAGACCACAAAGCAGTACTGAGGTCATCCAGTTGGTTTGTGGCAAGCAGCCTACTGATGCCTCACTCGAGGGCTTGCTTAGCCCCAACTGCTTACTTTGGCTGGACCATGTTCTCCGGATGCCCGTTGGCTGGCCTCCTTGGCATACATTATACGCTGTCGGTGCACCGAGTTGGGCGAAATCGCGAGGTAACCAGTAGATTGTGGCATAAAAGTAGGAAGAAATTGACCGACAACATCGGTCGGGCCGGTACATGCCGTCTTCGTCAATGCGGGCCCCGGGTGGTTCTCACCAGTGGTTTGAGACTAACAGATATGACGCAACTGGTGGCGATCCTCTATATGGTCTCGTGCGTCTAGCTTAATATTCATTCCATTCCGATTAGTTCTACGCATTTCCTCGTTCCTTCAATCTTCTTTTCACCTTATTCGCATTCAGCCTCGTTTCCTGACAGTTGTTATTTATCGTTATTCTGACGACGCTAGTTGTCGCAATAGAATCCACCGAATTTCGGTGTTCTGATCAGAAGTATTCAATTGAATTGAACTGAGCTGAACTGTACGACTAATGATGATCCTTACTTTCCACGAGTATTGCTTCGTGTACCGGTCTAGCTTGTGTTACAGTAACAACGTATTTGGTGAGTATGCTTGAACGGTGTTGCGTTCACCCCCTGTCTTCCTTCTTGCATGCACTTGACGAACAGATTCAAGGTAAAATTTCGGCTTTAAGGTCCTGTTTCGCACAGCTTCGTAAGCGACTTCCAGATCTGTGCTTATTGAGCGAGTTCTGCTTTGAATATCAGGCTTCAATAAACTCATGTGCTTGCCGGCTGGTGGCGCTTTCGAGGATTTTGACATGCTCCAATTCGAATTGGTGGCGTTTGGCAACCATATGCACGGACATCAAAGAGTTCTTATCATGACGGCAGATGGCTAGGTTATGTTCATGTAGCCGTGTGCCAAGCTTTCTTCCTGTTTGGCCTACGTAGTATTTGTCACAGTCTCGGCAGCATATCTTGTAGATTACACCTGGTGTTTCCCACTTTCTAAGTTTATCCTTTGAAGAATTTATTTCGTATGGTTTCCGTTGGTTGGTGGGTAACTTTGACTCCGAATGGCAACAAAAGTCCCGTTGCCATTTCCGAGATTCCATTGATGTAAGGTAACATGATTTGCTTTTCAATCGTTGCATCTGGTAAGGTGTGTTGTGTTGCTTTACGTGGGGTCAAGCAGCGCAGAACGAAGCCTTTCGTGAATGAATTCCGTTTGAATAGGCTGAAGAGATGGTCTTCATCCACTTGTCTCAGCTGCTGCGTGCTGCAGTGTGTCCGTGCGCGTTTGAAAAGAGTTAGCATGCAGCTGCGCTTGTAGGCTTCCAGATGATTGCTATTGTAGCTGAGAATCTGGTCCGTATGTGTTGATTTTCGATAGACCGTGGTTTCCAGTGGTCCCGAACCAGTCCTATGGATGAGAAGGTCTAAAAATAGTAGTTGCCCATCACTCTTCTCTTCCTTCCTGAATTGGATGCCGTCGAAAACACAGTTGATTAGCTCATGTCTCTACTAATTCGGAGCGTTTGTGGATGACGAATGTGTCGTCTATGTGGCGCACCCAAAGTTTCAGTTTCGCAATTGGGAGTGCTATTCGTTCTTGCGCCTGTATCACTGTTTCGGCTACCAGTTCAAAAAGCGGTGATCCCATCGGCTTTCCTCTTAGTTGATGGCAGATTTGGTCATTGAAAGTGACATGTATTAATAGACAGAATCCCAGCAATCCAGCATTTGTCCAGCGTCTATTTTACCACATGTCGAAACCTGTGTGTTCCTACAGTAGAGCAGCCATTGTTTCGCCAACTTGATGTCAGTCGATGTGAAGAGCGCCGTGACATCAAAAGAGACCATTATTTTGTCTTGTTCTATGGTTATGGTTTTGAGTTTGTTAGAAACTGTTCTGTCGAGTTGATCGAGTGTTCTGATCCCGTAATTAGATGTTTTAGTCGTTCCCAGAGCTGTTTTCCAAGTCTGTAGTTTGGTACTTCAGGCAGTGACACGATGAGACTGAGAGACACTGTGCTTTTGTGTACATTTGGTAGACGATAGAATTCTCAGAAGAGCCACAAGCCGGCAAACACGTGAGTCTATTGAAGCCTGATATTCAAAGCAGAACTCAATCAATAACCACAGATCTGGAAGTCGCTTACGAGGCTCTGCGAAACAGGACCTTAAAGCCGCACTGATGATATTGTCTAGTCTGGTAGCGAAACGTCTGCAGAATAATCATTCAACTCGGATAACAGTGAAAAATCAACATCAAGCTCAGTAAGCTATTTATTGATCGTCGGTGCATTGACTGTGGCACTGCGTTACATCCTCCGAGCACCGATCTGATCTACGTCTTGGGACATCATCAAGGTAACGAAAAATGGCGGTCTACCGAGGTCACTGACTGAGATAGTCATGCCCGGATTGATTTTCTTACGAAACGATCGACTCAGCAGAGAGGGACGAGGGCTTCTTTATTACCGATCTGACCTGCATATTGATATCACTGACGATCCAGATATGCGAGTTGCCAATTCTCTCCGATATCGCCTACACCTAAAACATGATAATGTGTGTTTATTAGCAATAGTTTACCGCCCTCCTGTGTGCGTCATGGAAACAGATCACAGCCTGGCATCTGCTATGAGACAAATCCCGGCATGGTCACACAGTCACATGCTTTTGGTTGGGAACTTCAAACTGCGCGCAGTCAAAATCCCCACTTCGCTAGGCGAACAATTTAAAGCAGGTTCCGAGAAATAATCGCAGAGTTACCGCTTTACAACCATCTCACCAATCCCATGAGATACAGAACTGACGATGAACTCGCAGTTCTAGACCTTGTGCTCACCAGGGAGGAACTAATTATCGAAACTTTCACCATATATGTAGCACTTGGCGGTAGCGACCGTGCGACACAGCTCTACCGCTACGGTTGCTACGCGGAATACACCTGTAAAAGAAACAAGGGAACCCACGTCCTCACCCATTACGGCATACTGTATCATCTCGCTTAAACAACCAATTGGTCCTACCCGGCTGAGCATCCTCCCAACGTCGACTGGAAGAAGGAGTTCGTCATTCAATACTGTAATGGTGGTATATGTGTCGGAAACCAAACTCTTTCGCTTGGAGCAAAAGAAATCCTTCCAGAGGAGCCGGACCTGAAAATTCATGACCTTAAGAGATTCAACATGGCGCGCCTATAAAGCTTGTCCGAGTGTGAAAGCCCGAGATGTCTACATAGCTCATCGAAATCATCGTGTCAAATCGGTCCGCGAAGACGTATTTAAACACCAACAGGATTTCAACATTAAGTCTAGAACGTCGCACTGACACCTACACAAACTCCGAAGTGTGAGGTGCGGAATCCCAGTTTTACGTACGGCAAATAGTCTGGTGTTAACTACACAGGTGGTGGCTATTGCGCTTAGACAGCAGTTTACGCGCAATTTTCAGTGATTCGTCACTTCGCCCGCTTTTGGCACAGCTCACACCGCTTCCAGAGTTAAGCCACATATATAAGGCGACCAGATTTTTCGCGGACCAAAGCGGAAGGCTTAGCCTACCCCCGTACTTTTCTAGCGTATGCAGACGGTACAAAAATGGAAAAGCCAAACATCTACTTATGTTACCTCACTGCAATAACAAAGAATACCTCATTAGTCAGTATAGTGGCTACGCTACTGAAGTTGAGATGCTAGTTGATATTGTAGCATCTTGTACCGCAGTTGTGAGCAATACTTCTCAGATAAATGTATTTTCCATAATAGATCTGGGCGTTGCATCAGCTTGTCCTGAAGTCGTTCACAGCGATGCACGATGCTCTTGTTCCCAAAATTGCATTTTACCATAAGCATCGTTTTCAGTGTTTAAATTCTAAGTTGCGTTTTCTCGCTTGTCCATACAGTGTTGATGTGTGAGAAGATTCTTTCATTAGATGCATTAGTCCCAGTGAGACAGCGAATAAATTCAATAAGCTTTTGTATTTGTTCACATGGGATCCAGTTGACCTGGAAACGGTAAAACACTTCTACCCACCGCATGTCAAACTTTATTTGTTTAAAGTTTCAATAGGAAATTTTGTCGGCTGATGCAAACCTACACACATTGTTAACTTCCCCAAACAGCTCGTTGTCATTGGTTGCCAGGTCCAAGAAAAATGACGCTTGCTTCAGCTTTTTCCCAGGGCGCCGATTGTTTCAATGCCACACGATTGAAGCCATTCAGTCCTTGAAATTAGTTTATTCTTTCCTGTAGGTAATCGACGCAGTCGTCGTAGAAGCTGGTGATAATATTCATCACATCAGTTTTTTTATGTGACCCGCTTGTTCCATTTGGCCGATTCGGCTCTTTACCTCGTTTGCAACGATGCCGTTTTTGCTCCTGTCCATACACTTTGAAGGAGTTCGTACAATGCAAACGACCTTTCCAGTGCTGAGATGTTTTATTCCTCAATTTTAATAAAGTAACGTGAAAAACGGCAGATGTGTATAAGAAGTGCCACAGGTCAGGGCAGGGAGTTTCAAAGATGCATTGTAATACTGTAGGACACTTTTGTCTGGACAAAAAACTAGATTTCATCGCTGAAAATAGCTTCAGGATTCTCTCCACTGCTGGCATAAGTGAAAGCCATCTGGTTTTCCCGTATCCTAGAATGCGTTGATACTCTACCATCGCACAGTCACAGAATGCCCTTGGTTCTTCAACACGAACAGTATACATGTAAAAGTAAAACTATCTTTTTACCACAACTGCTTCCACATCAATAGGAAGACAGTCAGCTGCCGTTTGTAATGTGTTTTGGACAAGACGGGCCACGCAACCGATTCCCACAAGTTTTCCTCCAATCGAAGCTTTCCAGTTCGCGAATAACTTTTTTGTCCGCTTCTCTGAACGCCTCCGCAATTTGTTTTGGCGTTGTCAGTACAAAATCCTACAGCTTTTCTGCTCATATTATTTTATTCCAACACATTCTCTACAAACGTGCAAATGATGTCTGATGTGTCATCAGTAAGTGACTACATACCTAATAACTTTACTACAGTAACCTAGGACGGAACAAAATATCTTACAAGGAGTGGAAACACCTTTAGTTTCTTGTTGTTTGAGACGTCTGTGAATGTTGGCATGAACTTTGCTTTCGTCACTTTTCCTTGAAGTTGGCCCCTGGCAAACGGGGACAGGATATTAGTTATTATTGCTTCACATTTTGTGAGGGAACAAGCAAACTTCGACTCAAACAATTGCTAAACCGACTTGCTGGTGCAATTCCTGGAGTGGAAACTGTGCTTCTGAAATTCACCGTGATAAGCGAAGGTACCTTCTGCGGCTGCTAACTTGGCTTCTATGTTTCCAAACGTTGCTGCTCTGAAATAATCTGTTACAGGGGTAGAAGATGCTGCCGCAGACACCACTACCTTATGGCGATCCGATTTTAGGCGCTTTGTGTTATCTGATTTATCACGGTGAGCAATAGGAAATTCGGATTTGCATGTGTCACATCGAACATGTGAATTGCTGTCGCGTGTTGCCTTCTTACTGAATGGAAGAGCGCTCCCTAATCGAGTAGTTATCTTGCACGTTCGTTTAGACATGATTTTTCTACCAAACTGTACATAATGCAGGCGCTCTTCACTAAAGACACAAAGTTCGTCATCGCTTTTCTTCCATCATTTTTCCATTGTCGTGAAAATTCTCCTTGCCGCGTTGCCCACCCATGCATTCGAGTATCACGCCCAACTCATGCCCACCCACTTATTTTGGTCTTATGGTGTGTGTTGTGTCGGAGCCCCGCGACTGCTCCCACCCACTCAAGGTGGTAAGAACACGAACGACCAGGCAACAAACAATGTTCACGCAGCACGCCATACCGGCCACCAAGCGTCTGTGTGTCTAACTCAATCACATGCATATCACAGGCTATGCAGAAGGGCTGACAATCGATCAATCAAAGCTAGTCACTCCAGGGGCGAAAGATAGATACGGTGTCTCATGAACTAGCGAAATGTGCAGAGTAAGAGAAAAGTCATTGAGCATAAGACTCCATGTCAACCCAAGCGCGTCACAAATGTGAGGTAACAGAAAACGTATGCGGGGAACCGTAAAAGAGGATGAGATGAATAGGAGTGAATGGGTTAAAGTCATAAAACAATGGGAGTGATGGAGTTTCCTTACCACCGGTATAACGGTGTGCACGCGCCACCACTGATTGGTTTCGGTATTTTTACCTACATTCTACACTCTCAAAGCGGGACATTCTGAGGTCTCCGACCTCAAAGCGGGACATTAGTGCGTCCCATCCAGCATATTTACCTAAGTGAGACGACAGCTTAAAATGCGGGACTGTCCCGTTTAAACAGGGACGTATGGTCACCTAACACACGTAATGCACCGCAACGGTGATGAAAAGAGTATTGTCCGTGCGCGTGCACAGCTCTTCTGGCATGGATGACATAAGACTCAAGACAATAAAAGTAGTCGGCATGTATGTCGCCGAACCGTTAGCTCGGTTCTTGCAACAATGCCTTGATGAAATGCACATTCCAGCAATGTGGAAAGATGGAATAGGCAATCCGACCTACAAGAGTGGCAATAGTGCGAAGTCCTGGAAATACCTTCCAATCACTTTCCACTCAGTGTTATTATTGGGCGGCCACAACTTAGGAACGGTGGGACATGGTTTCGAGGCAAGACAGGACCAGGGCAGATCTCGCAGTCAGCTGCGTCACCCAGTTCATCATCGTCATACGGGTTGCTATGGCACAGACTTGCTCGCAACCACAGCCAGACGGTGGAGGCCGCTACCAGATTTGAATCTGTCTAGACAAGTGACGTGAATCACCTCGGTTACGGACCGTCGAAGTGAACGCAAGTGACCTATAAAGTTAACCATGCTCGATTCCTAAAACAGTTCGGTCTAGCAGGTCTTGGTCTTCCGATTTTTGTCCCCGGCCGGGTTTGTGACGCAGAGAGCAGAGGCAAGGGCAGCGTTACAATAATTATCTTAAGTAACGGAAGGTACTGTCGCGGAGATGCTCATGGGTGAAACAGAGCAACATCATAGTGTCCCAGCAGCAGTAGCAGCATGGATTCCGCCCAGCAAGCTGGACGGAGTCAGTTGATGCCAGAGTAGGAGTCGAGGTCGTATACCTGGACTTTTCCAAAACATTAGACCGCATGGACCCCCGCAATTTTCGTCACAAGCTTCGACGTTATGGAATCGGTAACTCTTTGTTGGGTTGGATAGCAACTTCCTCTTGCACTGTCAGCCGAATGTGAGAGGCCGCAGCTCTATTGCTGACCCAAATGAAGTCCAGTATAGTGTGCACAAGACATTGATACTGGGGCCACGTTTACTCCCAAGCTTCATCAAGGATATTGGTAGTGTGCTCCGGTTGGACCTCCTACTATTTACAGACGAGGCCAAAATTTAGCATGACATCAGGACAGTGGACGACCACACTGCACTGCATTGAGACATCGACAGAGCCTTTAAGTGGTCATCCGAAAATCAGCAAGTTTAACTTGGCAAAATCCAAATTGCTAAGCATACGCTATCAGCTACTCATAGATGTCGACTGATGGAACAGCAGTTGTAACATGCTACACAGGAAAGCGACCGCCGGGTAATCATGTAAGATGACCTTAGTTGCTAGTGACAGACCGAAAAGATGTCGAGAAAAGTGAAGCAATACCTTGGTCTGCTACGGGGGGCATAGGCTGAATGCATAAGTGTGGCCCAATGTGAATTACGCGACTGAAATCTGGCGTCCGTGTCACAAACACGATATTGATGCGCTTAAAGTTCCACCACTTAGGGCAACAAAGTTCGTTAGAGGAATGCTTCATCTCCCGTATTAACGCATACTGCAAACCCAAGTCTCCTTCAGCGGTGAATATCGGTGCCTGCGAGGAGGCTTTATCATGGTGTACCAAATACTGGCGGACCTCAGTCACACTTGTCGCGACCTGTTGCAATCAGTCACAATACTAACCTAGGACTTCACCAGCTTAAACTGGTCGCGCACTACAGTGGACTTGATTAATGACAAAAGATTGTTCACTTCGTATATCCCGATCCTAGAGCGCCGCTCTGCCTCAGGACATTTTGCCTTCGGATCAATGCTTTCCAAAAGAGGATTTGACGACACTCTATCCCATTTACCTTACGTGATATAGTCCGTCTCAGTTGGAAGATAAAATAACGCAAACCATCAATTGGTCTACATAAAAGCAACATGGTTCGGCCAATACCTGCACTTCACCAGCTTCACATCAGTGCTGTACAAGCAGACCCTTTTGAAGACTTTAGTTAGTCGTGCTAGACGAATTTGCTCGACTGATTGTCTAGCCGACGAGCTAGAGTTAATTACAACACTCATCGCGAATGGTTATTCCCGTAGATTTATAGAGAAACACAGCCAACAGCGAGGCCCGAAAGACTTGGTGCATACGGCAGCCAAGAAAAAGATCTATATCGAGTTGCCTTTCAAGCGTGACATTACTGTTTTGAAAACCACGAAATGTTTAATCTCTGCTACGCAGTCAAGTTACTGTGCTGCTCAGGTTGTGGTCATCAACAGAACCTATAACTTGACGATGCCTCCAACGAAGGAAGCTCAACAGATGGGGGCCCACTCACATTGCATATACAAATTCGTGTGCGACTGCGGAAACAGTTACATAGGCAGAACCAACTGTTCTTTGACTTCCGAATAAAGAAACACGTGCTAAGGTGGGTTCAACGTGAAATTGATCAGCATCCCAGTCCCAGTGAAATTCCGTGCTTACACAAGCCGCCAGCTTCCTCAATAGGTAAACACCTACTGACCACACGTCACCGGATAGAGCTTGGATCAGCGTTCACACTTGCGTTTTACGTCACCCTAATCCCCGCTTCCTCCGTTTCGCAGAAGCCGTTGCGATAAGCCGGATGAACCTGGCCTTGTGTGTTCAAAAGCAATTATTTGTCAGCTTAAGTCTGCCGTGGACATAAGGGTGGAACTTCCGTCATTTGTTTTGCACTTCGTGCTTATTTGGTCACATCCATAGTTAAGTATATAGTTGTATACCGGTTATTATTAATGGTACTGAGGGGACAATACGAAATGCATGCATCGACTAGATTTCGTCTTCTTACCGTGCTTTTGCAAATTTTACTAATTTGCTATACAACACACTCCTTAACGTGGCGGCGAGGATACCAGCATGTGTTCATGCGGATAACCTGGCGAGTCACTAAAAGCCCGAATTTTCCATTTTCCTGTCAGTTTAGACTCTGGCTTTATAAGCCTCACTCCGGCTATCCTACGGGACTTGTC